TTATAGATATTTTTTTTTTCTTTGTAAATAATCGACTATCTTTGTGTACAGAAAGATGGAGAGTGTTAAAAGAACGAAAAGATAGAGGGACATGAAAGTTCACTCATATATAATACCAAAGTTTATCATAGTAAAATCTACGTCTCTTAGTTTTCTACATTCCTTTTCATACAATATTCGCCTCTGAAATTTACGTATAAGATAGCATATACTTTTCCTTGATCGAAGGTTTTGTTTTTTCTACAAGTACAATTCTTCTGAATTTCAATAAAAACTGTTTGTACGCCTTTACAAATATTTTGCAGATATATCACGATTGTCACTGCCTATACAATGTCATTTTCAAATGTAACGCATTTCTCCATTGTACATGAAAAAAAAGAAAGAAAGAAAGAAAGAAAGAAAACAGAAAATTTGGTTTTCCGATGTAACGTGAACTTTTCGATTTCTCACATTACTTTCGTTATCGGAAAGCCATTCACCTTGTGAATTGGGGTTACAAAGAAACACGTGGTACAGGAAAATCTTGTGTAAAATTAATCGTGAAAATAATGCTGCTAAACGAAACCCAACGGTAACAATTTACTTTTAGACTTCCTTTAAACAATGATCTTTGTAACGCCGGCTAAAATCATTAAGTAAATAATGGCTCTAAGAAGAAAAGGATTACAGGAATTGGTAACTGGTCGTAAAAACGTTCAACAACAACACCACTTTTAATTATTCTGAAAATAAATACGCGATATATTTTATACGGTTTACGATCTTCATGTCTTCGCGATGCTATTTTAGACTGACTGCTTTTGGTTCTACGACTTTTATAAAACGAGATCGGGATTACGACGTTTTTTTACGCGAAAAGAATCGAAGATACGATACTCACTATGCGTGCGATACAAAAGAATTCGTAAAATATTTTTCAAGAATATTTCGTAAACGACTAAAGGTGTCAAGACCTCAATCGAAAACTGGAATTAGAAAACTAAAACAATTTGCTATCATAAACCGAAGGGATGGAAATTCTAATCTCTAATGTATATAAATTGTTGAATTAACGAATTGCAGAACTGGAGCATCGAAAATCCTCAAAATGTATAACCGCCGTTCATCGTTTTGAACCAACGACGTCGCACAGTAAAATGTGAAGAATGACTATTCAAAAGAGATACGCACAGTTGTAATCGTATTCATGTTTCAATGCAGAGAATTTCGATATTTTAAGAAACGAACGTCTTGATATAACGTCACCCTTGAGCACATGGGTATCCAAACGAACTTCCATTACCGTGAACTGTGTATTTAGTATTTATGGAAAATTCTGAATTGAAGAGAGTTTAATTTTACATATATATGTACGATGCAAGTTGCGTTTAATTAATTGACTCGTTTGATAGGGAGTCTCTTTGTCTAAAATCTAGGAGAAAGGCTAAGTTTACCATTATCTAGTGTGATTTCTATGCTGGCCTTGCAAAATCAAAGAAAGATTATCTATATTACAAAGAGATATGTGTTATTATATTATGAGAGAGTGAGAGATAGAAAAAATATAATATTACTGCTATAAATACATATATATATATATATATAAATACATAAATATATTTTGTATTTAATATTAATCGCCCAAATTTATCAAAGAATTGCGAATACTATTACTCTCTGACATAGTGACACGAAAGTATATATTTCTTATGACTGGTGTAAGTATTCGCATTCTATTTTTTTCTTTTCTATGCACGACTGTCAACTTGAAAATCAGTGGTAATGACGTTCGCCAATAAATAAAATGGTTTAAACCAGTTACTCGTATTTATTGCCACGTAACGTATCCTTCCCCTTTAACGTATACCTCGGTATATAACATAAAATACAGACCCTTATTTATTATAGAATTTCCATAAATATTTACCAAACTTTTTATTTTCGATAAAATAAACAATCGTTTTTACTGTGTTTACAAATGAAATGATATTTGAATATATATATTTTATTTCCATATAATTCAGTTCTAAGAGTATCAAACGATATTTAATCGTTTCGAAATGTTTAATTTCACGAGCAATATATTTTCTATAATAAGAATTCAAAAGTTGTTACGTGATTTTAAATTTAGGATCTATTTTCAAACGACATAATCGACCGATCCCTCCGTGGATACTAGCGCCGCGACGCTCAGTAACAAGCTCGTCCACGAAGTATGTTTATTATCGACAATGCGAAACAGACTGTAGTGGCGGAATGAAAATGGCTAATTGTCAGGTTCGTTGGTGCAGCAGGTGAGCGATCAATTATCGTTAATATCGAGACATTAGTCACTTCGGGATGAACGGTGCGCAATTCGCAGCGGTCGGGACAATCGAAGTCAGTGAAAATCCCGTCGATTTCAGTGTTGTCGAGGGAGTTAATAGATTATTTGAAGAGGTGCGCGATCGAGATCACCGCTGAAAGGCTTGTTGGCTCCTTTTTTTCTACAGTGATAACGAGTTTTCAATTTGTTAGGGACAAGCCAGCCGGTGATCGTTACTCGTCTGTGCTACTATTAAATGGGGATCGATAACCTCTCCGTTGACAGGGAAAAAAGAAATGAATGTGACGCGATCTCGAGATTGAGACACATCAGCAAAACGTAGATTAATTTATTACATCCATTCAGAAAACATACGTTCACCCGTTGTTTCTTCCGTATCAGTAATCGCGCGGAAAACAGTGATGCATGAAAAGTTTCGATATTACGAGGCACGTGTTTGTATTGGAGTAAGAGTTACTCTGTGTATGCATGTGTATGTGTGTATGTGCGTGTACGTGTGTACATGTGTGCGCACGCCTGGGTGTGTATGTTGTGTATGAGAGTATGGATGTGTGTGTGCACCAGGTGCACTGTTGCATCCCTCTTATGAGTGCCATGCACCGTTTAGACCACAACCATAATGTCATCCCGAAGGCTACTTCTTAGTAATTCACAAAGGGTTCACTCTTCCATGAAATACAGCGCATGGATACTTTCCAGGCAATACCTAGCACGTACCTTGCTAGCGAAGTATTTGTGGTAGATCCTCGGTGAATCAAGAGCATGGCTTCTGGCGCGTCTTCCTTGGATAGTGCTGGAAGTAGTGGTGAGTGTAGTTTTTAGTTTTCTGTGTTACATTTCCGTGTATGTTTGTGTCAACTGGATATTAGAGATAGAAATTGAATAATATAGTTTGACCTATAAATTTTATTGACACCAAAGAAGATTCGATCGTGAAAGTAAAAGGAAGACAGTTATGGAAATAGGATTATATTGTTATTAAAGTTGAAACGTTATTCGTTTCAATGTTAGTGTTATATGGTTTTTGATAAATACTATTGCATAATATTACTTTTGATAAAGATCAATTGTTACGATAGAGTTTTCAATATTTCTTTTTAGAAAGGAAACAATTATAGGAAACAAGACCACATTGTTGTATTTCACTTAATTAAATCACTTTGCACAGTTACTTCAGTAATTATAATTTCACTTTGCAAAAAACAGTGAATCATAATGGTTACATGTGTGGCATAGAGTTTCTTTCCTGGTGAAAGCTAGTCGGACATCTGATTATATTGTTCTTCCAATTGTAACGACACAGTGTATAATGTACATAGCAGTGATTTCATTTTTATTTTTGTATGTAACTATGTACATTTCACTTGTAATAGATTAAAATTTTATATGTTCTATTCTTACAGATGGAGCACTCAATATGGGTAAGAACAGTATTTTCAAAAAAAATTTGATTTGTTATGAAACGAATGTATTGTGTAATAATGGTTTTTTCTTACAAAAATTTATTTACGATAAACACATTATATTTTTGTAGTAGTTTATTAATTTTACCACTGTTTTTTGAGTTCCCTTGTATCATGTGTATTTAATTTTTATAATACATGGGTTTAGTTTAACGTATAAATTTATTTTTATCTTGTACACAGTTGCTCTGTGTCAGTGTTTGTCTAGATTTAAAATCACACTTTCATGTTTCGTCGCATTATATTTATTATTTTGCAATTTGTATTGTTGAATATAATTTGCGTGTGGTGCATGAAGAAAGAGATAGCGGAGGCTATGGCAGTGTCGGAAGTCCTGTTGGTGGCCCTGAATGTCGTAGTGATTATGATGGTTTGCAAGCTCAATGTGATCAGGCCATGCATCAGCTTCAGCTACTTAGGCATAAGCACTCCGATACTATAAGACGGTTTGTCCTAAACATATTTAAACTGGTATTCGCTTTCTCTGTTTGTGTATGAGTTTTCGCTTTAACTTAAACTCACTAAATTTTCAATAATTCCGCATATATTACATAAAAGTATTATCTATAATGTAGGTGTGAACATACTATGAAGGAATTGGAATACTATCGAGGACAGCACATACCAGTCATGAATCAGTTGGAAGCAACATCACAGGAAAGCTCCGCACTGCGGGGCAAATATGGAGATTTAGTAAATGACAAGCAACGTCTTGACCGAGAGGTTCAGGCACTGCAAAAAGAAGTGTCTGAATTACGGTGTCAGAATCAAGAGGTTCTTGTTTCTGACACCACTAATAGCGACACAATGAATCAACACTATTTATCTGCCCTTCGAAAATATGAAGCTGTCAAAGACGAATACGATGCTCTTAGAAAACGGTATGATGATTTGATAGCGTCACATTCATCAGCTGTTAATAAGGCAAGTTCAAAGTACTACTATACGATCCTAGTCTGAATAGGATAAGTAATGTTTAAGACAAAAATATAGTACTTTGCAATGTATACGTTCACTTTGTAATTTCATGAAACTTTATATATGCGATTAAAAATATAGTTGGAACTATCACAAGAAGAGGCTGCCAGATTGAAGAAACAGTATGACGATGTTGTTCAAGAGCGCAATAGCGCGATTCGCGAGCGTAATGGTCTGAAGCAACAATGTACCGCTGCAATCAGGCAATGGGACATTGCCTTAAGGGAAAGGAACGAGTACCGTGAAGCCCTAGCTAAAGTACAACAACAACACGAAGAAGCAGTGAAAGAAATCAACCATGCAATGGTACTACGTATGAAAGCTAGCAAAGATATGAAACGATTAACAGAAGAAAGAAACGCTGCATTACAAGAATACAGTTTAATCATGGGCGAACGAGATACAGTACACAAAGAGATGGAAAAACTTGGGGATGATCTTACGCAGGCATACGCAAAAGTCACGCACTTCGAAAACCAAAACAAACAATTTATAGAAGAGGTAAGATCAATTAATCAATTTCTTTTTCGTTTGATCATATGACTAAAAATTTCGTTTAATTTTAGCGTTCACGTATTCTTATTTATCGTCAAATTAATTGGCGTCTTAAGTAATTAAATGCAAGGATTTTTCCATTATTATTATTTTCTTCTCACGCACTTTATACAGGTTTCTAGCTATTTATATTGTGCATCATATATACTATACATTACTTGCTACTGTAGATCCTATTTTTAAGTGAACGTTCTTTGTTTTAATACCCACTCGCATTATTTTTAGAAAAAAGCTTTATCCTATCAAATTGAAACTTTACGGAGGGAAATTTCTTCAGCGTTGCAAGACCGAGATGAAGCTTTAAAGCAATGCAATCAATTGCGCCAAAAGTTCGGCGATTATTCCGAAGGTTCTAACCGGGATTACAAGAATCGTATGGAATTGCACTCGTACAACCGTGAACGGGACAACTCGAATAAAGAAGCCGAAAGGGAGAATAACACCGCAGATTATACTAAAAGGGACAAGGAACGTATGGATAATTTAGATCAGGCAAATTTGGAGTTAGATAAACTCAGGAAGTCTGTAGACAAATTGCAGGCGGAACTCGAGGAGGCCCTTCAAGAGGCGGAAGTGTCGAAACGAAGGAGGGATTGGGCTTTCAGCGAACGAGATAAAATAGTGTTAGAGAGAGAAAGTATTAGAACTTTATGTGATCGATTAAGGAAGGAACGTGATCGTGCTGTGTCGGAATTAGCGGGTGCTCTGCGCGACTCCGATGACATTAAGAAGCAACGGAACGAAGCGTCGAAGGAACTGAAGGATCTCAAGGAAAAGATTGAATCCGGTGATCATGCGTTAAGGGCGAGTCAGTTTGCGCAGGGTTTAGCGCATTCGCACGATTCAGCGATTGACGCCGATATCAATGACTGGGAAATCCTTACAATTCACTTCGACCTCAGTCGTCTTTGTTTGGATACGGACCGTGATTTGGGACTGACGCTGGTTGGAGGTCGCGACAGTCCGTATTATCCAAACGACACGGGGATCTACGTTGCTCAAATTACAGCGGGTAGCGCCGCTGAGGGGAAATTGAGAGTGAACGATTGCATCATGCGAGTAAACAACGTCGACTGCACGTCGGTTTCTACGCGTGTAATAATGGAAACTTTGCGTACCTGTTCAGTGGGATCCGCTACGTTGACGGTAAGGAGGCGACGCGTTACTAGAAGATCGTTAAGGACAACTCAATTGCCGGTCGGATCAGTTCCTCATGGGATCTCCTTGGAGCTTGGAGTGTACATTTCGAAAATCTCACCTGGCAGTTTAGCCGCCAAGGATGGTAATCTTGCTGTCGGAGATAGAGTTTTAAATGTACGTTTTAAACATTCGAACTTCCGTTCGCAATGAATTTTGTTTTTGTTAATAATGCAAGATTTTCTTTCTTAGATTAATAGCAAAACCATGGAAGGTATAAATTCCAGTCACGAAGCGATGACAATCTTAAATGATACGAGTACGGACGTTTTAACTATCACTACTCTGAAAGGGATACCATTACCTTCGGCGACCAGCTCAGAGACGATGACCATCGACGGTAGCTTCGGCACGGAGAAACAGAAAATGGTGAACAGCTGTTCGCAAACAGAGCAAGAGAGGATGATGCTGAAAACAGCGTCGGAGGATTACGACAGGCGATACCTTGCAGCGAACTTTGGCGACAGAAGTGTTTACAAAGTTTCGAAGTCGGTCAGTAGTGAAAAGCCGAGTGGTATTAGTAACGCTTGGGATAACATACGGGAGAAGATCGACATAGTACGGGGACGTAAACACAGCAAGGATCGGGAAGAGAAGAAGAAACGACATCGTAATTCCAGTCCGAACACCTTCGAGCAGGAGCAAGACGCGATAGCGGAATTGGACTCTGTGATAGAAAGTTATCATAAGAAAGCGAATAACGGGGTGTTGAAACGAAGTAAGCGTCGCGGACCTGAAAAAGTTGAGAAGAATGGAGGTACGTGGCCGAAAGCCAGAGGTGGGCCTCTAATACAAAATGGTACCGGTACTATTTTACATCCACGTAAGACAAAAGAAAGGCTGCCTTTAAGTGTTCTCCTTAATCAACCGCCCAAGTATGACTGTTATAATTATAATCGTATTTCTAATCCTATTCCCTTAACCAGTTTCTCCAATGTGAATAATCGGCATACAGTTTATAAATCCGTAGAGAAACCTTTACCCAACTTCCTCAAAACTGGACAGTTATTTAGTCAAAAATCCTTTACTCCAGTGGTGCAGTTCAAAGATATACCGCTAGATAAGAAACCGACCACCGAATTCGAGAATACGGAGAGTAGACTGAGCTCTACGCTGACACCGTCCGAAACTAGCATTGACTTTTCCTTGAAGTCCGGAAATACGGGAAAAGACGTAGAATATTTCTCAAAGAAGAGGGCGCAAAAATATATTCCTAGCAACGACAACCAAGTAGAGACGTTGCAGCATAATAGAGCCCAATCACAGCTATATTCCGGGGCCGGATCATCAACTTCGTCGACCAGCGGCACAAGGCAGCAGCTAACTGGTAATTTTTCATTTCCTCCCTATACGCATTCGCATCCGCATCCCCATCAACAGAACTCTTTACCTTCGAGATACCCTTCCCCGCCATCTTTGCCGTCTGCACAGTCCGGGGAGTCGATAGGACTTCCTGATGCACGATCTTACTGTTTCGAACCTTCGTATAGCCCCGGCCCGCAAACAGGATTCGGGCATTTGCACACACCCTCCGTAGATTTGCATTATCACAAATCTCGCGCTCCACCGATCGGCACCACATACGACGTACCGGCATACACGCATGGCTACGAAGGTGGAACGTTCCCAAGAAAAAAGGAAAATCAACGTTTTCGAATACCGTCAAATCCTAGTGTAACGTCAAAAAGCAGCGTGGGTAAATTGTCCACCGGCAGTATAGAAAGGACATCGGAAAGAGGCAGCCCGATGCCGACATTCCACGTCGAAGTACTTAGTCCGGGTACCGGAGGTGGAAGTAGCTCCGGTGGAACAGTCAGAGGAAGTAGTAGCAATAAACGGTCCAGCATGCCGGACTATTGTTACTCGCAGTCTAGGCCTGCACCCGGAGAACTTCGCAGAGTGCACATAGATAAATCGGTCGAGCCGTTAGGGATTCAGATCTCTTGTTTGGAAAGCGGAGGTGTGTTCGTCTCCACTGTTAGTGAGCACAGTTTAGCGTCTCAAGTCGGTCTACAAATCGGTGATCAGTTGCTCGAGGTCTGCGGTATTAATATGAGAAGTGCCACCTACCAACTTGCAGCCAATGTGTTACGTCAGTGCGGTAATTCCATTACGATGCTGGTGCAGTACAGTCCAGACAGTGAGTACAGTGTTTATATTAGAAAAGTAGTATAAAACCCTCTCACAATTTGCACTATACGAATCGTCGTCTTGCACCTTTCTCATTACATGTAATTATTATCTATCAGTTACTGCATGGCTCTTCGTTCGATAGACAGTCCTGTATTTATATATTGTATTCATTTTTTCTATTAGAATACAACGAATTAGAAGGATCTGCTTCCTCAAGTTCGTCGGAAGCTGGTGGTGCTCAGGGCGGTAGTCGTAGTGGTTCGCCAACTCCTTGTAACAGCCCCGAAGCTACGAGGAAACCAACAATCGAGCAGTTAGAGAGTTCGGAACCCGAACGCGACGCTTCCAGTAGCTTAAGCGCGCAACGTGATACGCCCAACACTTTGACCATCATGCGTGAAACTTCAAATACTTTAGAACCACCTCGCACCATTCGGGAGAGAGACATTAGGAATTCTGCTTCGTTGGAGGTACGCGGCACGCAAGAGAGAGAACGGGAGATCAGAGCATCAGCGTCTTTAGATATCAATATTAGGAAACCGGAACTTCGTAGTTCAGCGACGTTAGATAATATGCGCAACTCGGCAACCCTTGACACGTTACGCGGTACTGCCAACACACTTACACGCGCACAGTTGAACGCAGCGACTACGTTGCAACGACAAAATGCCACCATGAGAAGTCCAACGCAGGAGGAACAAAATCGTAAAAGTCCACCGCCAAGTGAGCCTAGGTACTTGTTCATCGAGACCAGGAAGTGCTCGAACTTGGGTATCTCGCTCGTAGGTGGGAACGGCGTTGGAATATTTGTACATTCGGTACAGCCAGGTTGCCTTGCAGAAGAGGCAGGCCTACGTACCGGTGATCGGATTCTAGAATATAACGGTGTAGATCTCAGGCAAGCGACCGCAGAACAAGCGGCTCTGGAATTGGCTAGGCCAGCGGACAAAGTGACGTTGATTGCTCAATACGTACCTGAAAGGTATAATGAAGTAAAAGATAAGCCAGGAGACAGTTTCTATGTGAAAGCAATGTTCGATCGAGTGGGCGAAGTAGGGGATAGCCTACAACTTAGATTTAATAAAGATGATATTTTATACGTCGACAATACTATGTTCAACGGCACTCCAGGTCATTGGAGAGCTTGGTTAGTCGATCAAACTGGAAGAAGACAGACCTGCGGTATAATTCCAAGCAAATTCAAGTAAGTTGATCAATTTTTAACATATATTTTACAAGCAAAACTTCGCGGATACTGTATTTTGAGTTTCGAGCTTTTTTATTGTATTTTAGAGTTGAAGAAGATTTGCTTTTGAGACGTTCATTGGGCGATCTGGAAACGGATACTACCAGACGAGGTAGTACCAGTGCAAGAAGAAGTTTCTTCCGTCGAAAGAAACATCAACGCTCCTCCAGCAGGGACAGTAAAGAGCTATCACATCTGACGGGTGTAAATTTGGGTTGGTATAGCGACAGTGGTACGTTAAACGAAGAAACTCTTCCGGCGAGTTACCAGCGCGTCGAACGATTGGATTGTAAGTATTAGCGATTTTGTTATTTGTATGATAATTGTGTTCACGTAAGGTATCGCCTTTTAAATGATCTGTTTGAAGTATTGAATTATTATTTATTATACTTTCATCTTTATACAGATCCAGCTTTAAGACCGGTATTGATTATTGGACCGCTAAGCGAATGTGTAGTAACGAAACTCTTGCAAGAATTTCCTGGACAATTCACTAGGTGTCTCGCAGAAGCGATGCATTGTTCTCAATCAACGCTCGAGCAAGGTTTGCGTGACGCACTTTACGTGGACTACAGAAAAAAAGGAAGCTATTTCGAGTGTACTACAGTACAAGCTGTCAAGGACATCTGTGAGAAGGTAAGATATTTTTTATCCAATGCCATACATAATATTGATGATACTATTTATATGTAACACGTAGACGTACTAGATTGACTATCTAAAAATGAATTGTATCAAAATACTTTGCGTTCTCGGTACATGTTATTTATGTGTGATGAACATTTTTAATTGTAGAATACTCATTGTATTTTGGATGTAACGATTGCATCGATCGAGCGGCTTCACCGACATCAAATTTATCCAATAGTATTATTGATCAAATTCAAGAATACGAAGCAAATTAAAGAAGTGAAGGATTCCAGGTATCCAAGTGATAAAGTTAGTGCTAAAGCTGCGAAAGAAATGTACGAACAAGCACTGAAACTTGAAGCTGAATATAGGCATTATATTTCTGGTAAGTTAACAGTGTTTTGTGTAAACATTGTTCCTTCAAGCATAGAAATTTTATTGAAATAATATCTACGAAACCAAACTGTGAATACAGTTACAAACTGTAAAAACTTTTTCTTTTTTTTTAGCACTATCATTAACTTATTTTTCATTTTAATTTGTTTCAGCTGTAATTCCTGCCGGAGTTAATGTTGCGTATATATGTACGCAAGTCAAATCAGCTGTAGATGAAGAACAAAGCAAAGCGCTGTGGGTTCCTAGAGTACTTCCCTGACGTTTAAGGGGGGGTCTCCATAAACCGCAGTGGAAATCAATCTAAATTCCACCAGGGGGCCCTTATGCTGTACGATTACACAAAATTTTCACAATTTATTTATTTATGGTCTCTTATTTACTTTGATAATATTCAAAGGTTTCAATACTATTTAAGAATTTGTTGCAACAATTGTTTCGGTTATTTCGGTTGTTTCACTCATTTCGGTTGTGATGCGATCCTTTAAAGATCGCAATATCGTTCTGTTTGTTTAATATATTTTAGCGCATTGAAATTTTTTTAACGTAAGTTACATATTTTACTAAACTAAATATTTTACTAAGAGTTATTTTAAAATATATTTTGAATTATAATAATTATTTTCTACAAAATTTTGCAGAGTTATAGAAGAGCTCATATCAAACAAGCTCTTAATATAATATTTAAAAATATCGTACTTCGTAATGTTAATTAACAAAAATTACAAGATAATCAATTTTATATCAACTTCACGTCACATTTTGCATTTACTTTCCATATGAAAATAAGAAGAAATCTCAACGCATTAATTTTTAGCATTTATTCCATTGTTCATGCAATAGCGCGAATCTTTTATCGATAAAAAAAACTTCTTGCAAACATTTTTTAGCCGTGCTTTGAAGAGAATGAAACAACTCGCTATTTTCTCATTTTGCTTCGAACCTCGATCAATCGTAATTGTTTAACAGAGAAACTAAACAAATACAACGTCCACTGCGAAAAATGTGATGTACAATAATTGGCTCGAGACCATAAATGAATCTGTGTAATGAACACAAAGAGAAACTATCCGTCGTACCGTGGCCCGCTAAACAGTTGGTGGATGAATATAAAGATTATTAGTTAGCAAATATGGTTTAGTCAAACGCGTTTTTAGCTAGTATTATTAACCTCTCAAATCATTTCGGTTGTACAAAATGATTTCGCGTGATTAATATTATTGTACAGAGGATGTAATATTATATATGAAAAAGAAATTACTTATTTGTATATAATTTACTTACAGTTACGTATGGACTATATGCACATTAATTTTTAGTTCATTCGGATCGCTTAGTTTTGTAAGTTGTACTCTTTAGTCATAATCTTTTCCTTTTTTTTCTTTTTTTTTCATAAAGCTGTTAATGTATAATCAATTTGTCATCGATGCAAAGCAATCGGTTTGAGGGGTTAAAATTTTATCAAATGTTCCGACTCGATGGAACCGATAAACGCGATAAAGATGAAATTACGGAATTGATAAACGGCGGTTCATTTTTTTACCGTCGAATTTGTAAATATCTAAAAATAAAAGATAAGCGGTAGATTTCAGCGATATAAACTAATTTGATATTACATTGCGCGTAACAAGGTAA